AATACATCTCTCTTATTTACTCTTTCTATCTGTGTATGTATGAGAATTTGAACAGATAAAGATAAAAAATTGAATAGATAGAAAAAATTGAACATATAGAAAAATTTGAACCTATAAAAAATTGAACATGTAATAAAATTTTGACAGATGTTTGAATAGATAAGTAATTTTAACAGATAGATATTTTAACAAATAGATACAAATTTGATAGATAGTCAAAAAAATTAAACAGATAAAAAAATATTTGAACAAATAGTAAAAAAAAAATTAAATAGATAAAATATTTAAACATATACTTAAAAAAAATAAACAGATAGATTAAATGGTAAAATTGAAAATAAAATGTATTTCAAAATAATAAATGGATTTTTCACTAAACTATTTCACAAATGATGTATTTCTTAAAGGGTTTTCAGGAATTCATCTAGTCATGGGTAACCAAGGTAACCAAGTGGAGGCTGGAACCCAGTGTTCAGAAAAAGACAGATGGGTAACCAAGGTAACAGATCAGTGGAGAAGGGGTTGTACACCATCTTTGTGGATGAGCTTCCAGACTCAATGACTCCTAGGAGCCTGTTCACTCTGTTTAATAATTTTGGAGTAGTCAAGGATGCTTTCATCCCAGCAAAAAGAAGGAAAGCAACGGGAGCTATTTGGCTAAAATATGAGCTAAAAAAAATTAGTATGTTTGGGATGACTTTTTGGCTTTTTACAAAAAGATGTGCAAAAAGTAGAGAAAAAAGAGAATCTTTGACTTTTTCGTATGGGTTATTGGCTTTTTGGCTAATTTAGTAATTTTTTGACTTTTTGGCTAAAAATGACGGTTCCCAAACGAGGCAATTTGCATCGCACTTTTGAAGTTAACTAGTTACTTTTTATGTGTGAATGGGTGGTTTGCCATTGCATAACGAAAAGTTGCATGCACCAACTCTAAGTGAGGGAAGAATTGACAATGATGATGACTCCCGATTGGCCAAAGTAGAGAAGCAAGTCAACAAAATTCATGCACTTTTGCTACAAGGCCATAAGGACAAGAGGCATGATGAGGAACGACTGACCAAAGTGCAGAACCAAGTTGGTAAAATTCTTGAGTTGTTAGAACAACGCATGCCATTTGATGGAGGACATGTTAAAACACCACCAAGCAAACTACCTAAGGAGCAGCGAGTTGACATTGAAATAGTTGATCTTAATGTTAGTGGTATCGAAAAGCTTCTGGCCAATTCCACGAAGTTTGAAGATGAGGATCGGATAGGGAAGATGAATGAGAAAGAAGCAATGGAGACTCCGCGTTTGAGAAAACCAAATTTAGTCCTCATACTACTTGGAAATAAATCATCTAAATTGATGGCGCCAAAGGCAAAGGAAGTTGCAAAGAAACAAGCAAAATTGGTGGATGGGGAAGCTCTAAATAATGAACAACTTTCTATTCCACAAAAGGGGCGATCATGCACGAAAAAGGGCCCTACAAAACCAATTGAAGTCAATGTTGTAACAATGTCATCATCATGTAATGTTGTTCGTGGTCCTCAGACTCAAGGGACCGAAAATTGCAAAGCCAGTCAGTGGTTGCGTACACCTTTTGTGAAATTGGATCTAGCTGAAGCCATCGCCAAACAACAACGTTGACAATAACATAGATGGCAATCTCAATCAAGTAAACTAAGTGACTGTGTCTCAAAAACATATTTGATTTGTGTGTAACAAATAGTGTTTGTTTCTTACTTTTCTTGCTACTTGTACCCAGCTATTTGATAATTTACTTGAGCAACTTGGGGGTAATGTTGGTCCTGGAACCCCAAAAGTTTGAAACTAACTATTATAATATCTTTTGTGTATGTGGTTATTTTGCACTAACTCCGTTTTCATAAACATATGCTAACCAAGCTTGATTTGTTTTATGCGTTGTTCTTCTCAATACCTTTACAAGTCATCCGTGCCTTTGCTAGACCCATTAAATGACTATGACAGTCTATGAAGCACGAACACCTCTTTGGATGAGGCAATGTATGGGTGTCGAACACGTGTCAAACACGGATACGCATCGGACACGCGGTTGACACGTGTCAGACACTACCGAACGTGTCCCCTTTTTTTTTCTTCTTTTTTTTTCTTTTTGCAGCCAAACACTCTTTGGACACTCTCAGATACGTTATGGATACGTTGGAGACAGAAACCCTACCCCATTGGAGATAGCGAGAGAAAGCCTAACTATTGAAGACATAGACCAAGAGAAAAAAAAAAGGGTGAAGAACCTGTTGAAGCCCTAGATCGATGTGTGTTCAACTTCCTCTCTCCCTCTGTTCAGTGCTCTTTGTTCATCTTCCTCGAACCTGTTCATCTTCTTTGAATCTTCGTTTCTTTCGTCTCTCTCTCTCTCTCTCTTGTTGTGCTTGTCTCTCCCTCTTTCTCTTTTTGATTCTCCTTCTCTTGCTTCTTTGTTAGACTCTCCCTCTTTCTCTTCGATTCTCCTTCTCTTGCTTCTTTGTTAGACTCTTTCTTTCCTCTTCTTTGTGTTTGACTGTCTGTCTCTCTCATATCCCACCCAAATAAAGACTGTCGTCTCTCTCTTGTCTTCTTTATTGTTTTTTTCTTCTTTTTTTTTTTACCTATTTTCTTTTTTTTGGCTTGTCACTGTTGAGTATTAGGTGTCTTATCACCTAACCATAGTGTATGAGAGAAGTGAAAAAGGTACTGCAGTAACTATGCATGGATTGTATCTATAATTATTTGTATGAATGGATTTTAAATGCTGATTCAGGAATTTTTGACCAAAGCAATAAATGCAGGCATGTGAAGACATGTAGATTGAAAAAAATTAATAAATGCTAATCAGGAGATTTTGACCGAATTAATAAATGTTTGAGATTTTTTTTAAATAAAAAAAAGTAGGAAATTTAGATTGGGATATTGGAGTTCCCACAAGGCTTAGGGTTAAGAAATCCCTTTTCCTTAATATATAGATATAGATGTATAGATACAGATAATTGGGACTCACAAATACAATTATAATAATATGACAAAGAATTAGAGCTTTACATAATTGATTATGTGACAAATTAAAAAACTAACACTTATCATTTCACATTATTGGAAATAAAATTGTAGGAGATTTTATTAAGGGTCTTTAACATTTTTTTGTTAAGTTTGTAGTTCAAAAGTAAAATTTTCTTATAAATTGTCACACCACTTTCTACTTTGGCGGTGTTTTGGGAATTAAGAAAAAAGTTAGTTTATTGGTTTTTTTATATTTTTTTTTTTGAAAAAGGTACAAAATATAAAAGGTGATATAACCCAAATAAACCAATAAGACAATAAACTAACTTTTTTTTTTAAATTGCCAAAATAAACCTTTATACACATATTTTTTTTAAAAAAAAATAAAAAATCAATTAAAATAATCAATAATTTAAATAAAAAAACAACAATATAGTGAGCTCTAATTTTGGAGCTCTAATTGATGTGCAAGAAAAAAAAAAACAAAAAACAAAAAACAAAAACATAGCACATACATCACATCACATGTGGGTTCTACTCCTTGCACATTACTAGAGTTCTCTTTAAAGTTTCAAATTAGACCTTTCAAAATTAGAGCTCTCAATCTTTATTCATTAAAAAAATAGCAATCAATACGCCACTTGACAGTGGATTGATTTATTGCTTAAATAGTGGGTGTTTTAGAAAGATGGTTTAAAATTAATTTTTAATTTTTTTTTGACATTTTTAAAAAAAACATGTAAAAAATGTGAAAGATAATATAATTCAAAATGCGATTAAAAGCTGAAAAATGACTTTTAACCCACTTCCTAATAAGGATGGATTATAAAATTATAAATATCTTTCGTTGTAATTTGACATTTAATATTATCTGATTAAAAAAAAAAAAATATCTTTCTCTACATAATTTTTATCCATAAATATTAATTAAAAATATATTATTTGATATCATTTAAAAATCTATTAATTTATTTAATAATTGATTCATAAAAACAGTTATTTGTATGCTATTGTAATATAAATCATTTTTAATTTCCCCCCCCCCCTCTTTGTCAATAAAACCTTTTTTTTTAATTAGGATTGGGATTCAATCAATCAATTGAGAGAATTTGAGGGCTCGTGGGATTCATCATAAATTCCATTTCGATAGTCTAAACTACATATTTTGTAAAAGTTTTCCGTGCTATAATCCTT